TTTACCCAAAACTAATCAAATCTGCGTATTGGTTCAGAGCATCCATGTGCCAAGTTTCATCAAAATCCAATGAGTGGTTCTTCAAATATCAGTGGAACAGTCATGGAACAGCTTGAAATCAGTTAATTATCATTCAAATTAGGTAATTAATATTCATAGATTTTTACCCAAAACTAATCAAATATGCGCACTAGTTCAGAGCATCCATGTGCCAAGTTTCATCAAAATCCAATGAGTGGTTCTTCAGATATCAGTGGAACAGTCTTGGAACAGCTAAAAATCAGCTAATTATCATGCAAATTAGGTAATTAATATTCATAGATTTTTACCAAAACCTAATCAACTCTGCGCATCATCCCAGAGCATCTATGTACCAAGTTTCACGAAAATTTGATTAGTGGTTCTTGAGATAACGGTGGAACAAAAAAAGTGACATACATACAGACATACAGACAGGGTAACTGCAAAGACTCCCTTTTGTGCTTCGCACACGGGAGTCAAAAACAGGTACAAACATTCTCTCTTTTGAATGCTTAGCAAGATTTAGCAAGGCTGTACATAAATAATAAAAAGAAATGACAGGATCTCCCTATTATGCGCTATATTTAACTTTTAACAAAACGATAATACATTTAAATTTGGAACTGTTACAGCCATTTTAATTATGAGCATAAGCAAATTTCTTACTGGATGAATTGTTATGCAAATTAGCCATTATCTCAGCTTCTTTTTAGTGCACATCCCAGAACTATAAAAAAAAATAGCTCCTAGACACTTTAACCTTTTGTTTTGAAATTTTCACAAATGATTGACAATGTGTTTATCTTCAAAACGCCGTCGGGGCATTGTTTTTGAGTGAACTGTGTTACAACAATCGTACAGACAACTAGCCTGGGCGTTAATTTATGCAAAAACTGAATTAGTGAAATTTGAGCTGCTGCCCTGCAAAATTGACAACTGGTAGACAGTTTTCAAGACGGCACTTTCTTCATAGTAAGCAGATGTACCCATAAACCAATTTTGACAGGAAACAGAAACATGGTTTAGGAGCTAATTTTTTTAAAATCACTTTTGACCAAAAAAGCACATTTTTGTGCATATTTCAAACTACAGTGTCCATAAAGAAAAATGCTAACATAATTTTAAAATTCATACAATAAGCTTTCCGAAAATATATAGTTTTGTGGACAAGGGAGGTCATCTTAGTTTCCTAATTAAAATACCCATCAGGTAAACTGCATCTCTACCTTAATTAGGTAACTTCTTTGATGATTAGAAAGTATCAAAGAAGTCATCGGTGGTAATTAGTGTAAGTTGTGCCCAGAACCAAAAGATGTACTTTTTCCATCAGTAATAATTTTATTAACACTTACACATTCCCCGGAGGGATTGGCAATGGTTACAAAAGTTTAAAAAGGAATAAAAGGTTACAAAACAGTAAATAGATAAAACAAGCAGCCTCTCGGTTGAGATAGCTCCGCTGTTACCAATGCACATTTCAATTAAAGAACAGAAGATATCATTAGAAAATGAACAATATGCATAGTATCAATGCAATGGGACTTGCTGTTTTCAACAAGAATTCAAAAATATCATTTTTCACCATAAATGATTGTGGTTTTTAACAAGAAGAAAATATCACTTTTTACCAAAAATGACAAAAAAATTCACCAAAATTAGAGAATTAAAGATATCATTACAAAATGAATAAATCTGAGAGAGGTCCACATGTAGTACCTACCGGTATATATGTAAGATCAAAGCAATTGGACTTGCGGTTTTAACAAGAAGTTGAAAATATCACTTTTTACCAAAAATGACAAAAATATTCATTAAATTAGAGAACTAAAGATATCATTACAAAATGAACAAATCTGAGAGAGATCCACATGTAGTACCTATATATGTAATATCAAAGCAATTGGACGTGCGGTTTTTAACAAGAAGTCGAAAATATCACTTTTTACCAAA